TCTGGCCGGGCTCTCCACATTCTAAAAATGAGGAAACTAGACCTTGCTGGGTAGGTCAGCTGATTAGAGTATAGTCCTGATATGCCATGGTTGCAGGTTCCATCCCCAGTCAGGGCACATACAAGAATCAGCCAATAAATGCGTAAATAAGTGGAACAACAAATTGATGGTTCTCTCTCTCTTCCTCTCTGTCTAAAACCAATCAATCAGCCCTGCCGGGCATGGCTCAGCGGTTGAGCATCGACCTGGGATCCAGGCGATCAGGGTTCGATTCCCGGTCAGGGCACATGCCCAGGTTGCGGGCTTGATCAATGACTCTCTCATCGTTGATGTTTCTCTCTCTCTCTCCCTCTCCTTTCCTCTCTCTGAAATCAATAAAGATATATATATATAAAATCAATCAATCAATAAAAAATTTTTTAAAAATAGCCCTAACTGTTTTTGCTAAGTGGTTAGAGCGTTGTGGGCCTGTGGAATGAAGGGCCCCAGGTTCGATTCTGGCCAATGGCAGGTACCTCAGTTGCAGGCTCTATCCTCTGGCGGGTTGGCTCTAGAGCAGGAGGCAGCTAATCATCTCACATTGATGTTTCCCTCCCTTTGCTTCCCCCCCTTCCACTCTGAAAAGCAATGGAAAAAATATCCTGGAGTGAGAATTAAAAAAAATAAAGACTCCAAAGCCTGTACTACTCTGTTTAGCTTCATTGCTTCTCTAGAAGACCCTTGCATCTCTCTCTGCACTTTGCATGTGTTAGAAGGTTGTTGCCACCAGTCCAGTGCCAACAGAACCCCCAATTTGTGGTGCTTTTAAAGGAGAACCTTTATTCAAGTGAAGCAGCTCCAGTAAAACAGCTCAGTTGACAGTTTGCAAACGCTGGAAATGCAGTCTTCAGTAGAAACTGAAAATGCCCTCCTGGGGGACAAACGGGAGGCTGTCTTAGATAGAGAAAAGTGCCCGCTCCCTGGTCCTGATTGGTCTCATTTCATGCAAATGAGGACTAAATTCTTCCTGTTCTTATTGGTAGTTATGGAGCTGCTCTGATTGGTCGGTTTATATGCAAGTGAGGATATAGCTGCACAGCTCTGATCCGATGGAGGAGGTTTCAGTCCATTGGTTGAAATACAGTAACAGGAGCTTCTTTATGAGGGTTTGCTCAGATGGTAAGAACACAGTGCAGGAGGCTTGGCAGGTCAGTCTGTGGCTTTTCCCTGAGATACAGTGAGCCTGAGAGGCCTCTATAAACAATGGCTGCTGGATTCTGTTTATGAATTTGGGCCCAATTAACCACAAGGAGTCCTCTGGGCAGGTATATCCTTTCTCCCTGTTGACAGTGGGTGTAATTAAATGAATATAAGACCAGGAAGTAAGGGTACTTACTCTTCCTGGGCAGACAGGTTTCCGTAAATAATCAATATACTGATCTACTACTACTACCCAAAATGTTGCCCCATGGGTATACTTGGTCTTAAATAGTATTAGCAGTTTTACAAGTGCCCACTCCTCAGGCCATGATGAACCTCATATGTTATTGACATTTTCGCATATTAGCTGTTTTTCACTTAGCTTTTTTCTTGTCATTATGACTTGAGGCCATTAAGCAAGTCTAACTCCTAATATGGGTTCAAATTCTGACTCTTCTGAATTGTAGCTGTGTGATCTTAGGTAAGTTCCTAATCCTCTCTAAAATGTTTTTCTTGGTGGTAAATTGGAGATAATGTAGTAAAGATGAGATGAATATAAAATTCTTACCAGTGCCTAGGATACGGTGATGACTAAAAAGCACAGATTGTCTTTGTAAGGGATTTTTGGCACTAGGTAAGAACTGAGTTTTCAACTTCATGGAGAGATTTTATGAGTTGTGTTGAGGTTAATTTTTTAATTTAGGCTCAAGCCTGAGTGGAATTAAATTGCAGGGAGATAAATTGAAATTAGATGTTAGAATTTCATAGGAGCTGGGTTGCCTGAAATATGTAGATTCCTAAGTCTTATCATATCTGGGTTGAAAAAAGAAGCTTTGATTTCCATATTAGGGTTAGATTAATTAGCATAAATAAAAATTTAGAATGACTATACAATTTTTATAGCAGTTTTATTGAAATATAAAGTTCACCCTTTTCAAGTATACAATTCAGTGGAATTTAGTATATTCACAGATTTGTGCAACTATCACCACTGTCTAATTTTAGAACATTTTAATCGCTCCAAAAAAGAAACTGTTACCCAGAAAGTAACCTATTAAAAGTTACCATATCTCCCCCACCCTCCCAGCCACTAATCTGTTTCTATCTCTGGATATCTATTCTGGACATTTCGTATAAATAAAATCATACAATATGTGACTGGCTTCCTTGGCTTAGTGTTTTCAAGGTTCATTCATGTTAATAGTATATATCAGTACTTCATTCCTTTGTATTGCTGAATAGTACTACTATTAGTACTAATAGTGTACTGGTGGGTTTACCACATTTTAGGCTCTTTCCATTTTGACTATTATGTATAATGCTGCTAAGAACATTCTTGTACGAGTTTTTATGTGGACATACGTTTTCATTTCTGTTCCATATGTAACCCAGGAATAGAATTGTTGGGTCATATAACTATGTTTAACCTTTTGAGAAACTGCTAGACTGTCTTTTTTTATTATAACCATTGTAGTGGCTGTGAAGTGGTATCGCACTGTGGTTTTGATTTGCATTTCTCTGATCACCAATGATGATGAACATTTTTTTCATTGCTTGTTGGCCATTTCTGTATCTTTGGAGCAATCTCTGTTCAAATCCTTTGCCCATTTTTAAATAGAGTATTTGTATTACTGAGTTGTAAGAATTCTTTACATTCTGAATACTAGACCTTTATCAGAGATGGGATTTACATATATAGTCTGTGATTCTGTGGATTGTTTTTTCACTCTCTCGATAGTATCTTTTGAGGTAGAGAAGCTTTTCATTTTGAAGGCAAATTTATATATTTTTTCTTTTGTCACTTGTGCTTTTGGTGTGGGGTAATTACAAATTTGAGATCACATAGTAAAATTATAATTCCTAGTTTATAGTGATGTTGTTGGGCTGTAACTCAAATATTTATAACTGTTCACTTAAAAACAAAGAACAAAAAACATCTTGCCTGGCTGGTGTTCCTCAGTGGTTGAGTGTGAACCCATGAACCAAGAGGTCACTAGTTCGATTCCTGGTCAGGTCACATTCCCGGGTTGCGGGCTCAATCCCTATTTGGGGGCATGCAGGAGGCAGCCAATCAATGTTTCTCTCTCACCGATGTTTCTGTTTCTCTATTCCTTTCCCTTCCTGTCTCTTTGAAATCAATAAAAAATATATTTAAAAATTTTTTTTGAAAAAAACATTTTCATTTAAAAAATTTTGAAATCTCATGATTCTTACTAAGAAGTGTTTGAGTTGATTGAGCTTAAATAATGCTCACTTAAAATGCTGCCTCATGGCTCTTTGAGAGTTATTATTATGGCAGAAACAGATAATTCTTTTTATATTTTTGTGCCCCTTATCATCCATCTCCTGTGTGTCAGGCACTCTGTTTTCATACTTCATATGTGTTGTGTTACCTCCTATGACCATTTTAACTATTTGACGTCAGTGTATGTGCTCACCTACATATAAAGAAGCTGAAGCCTGGAAAGGACAAATAACATTCCCAAGATCTTATAAGTAGGAAATGACAATGTATAGATTTGAATCTAGATCTGTCATATAGATAGCCCATCTTCTTAACAGTATATTCTATTTTGCTCCCTTCTTAATCTCCCTGAGAAGGATGTTTGTATCCTATATAGTCTTGTATATACTGAATGCTCAGTAAAGTTTGAATACCATATTTTGTAGAAGTACTCATTTCCATTGATAGATAGGAGTACCAATGGTGTAATAAAGTAGTGTAAGAGTTGCTGTTTATTTTTCAGCCAGTACTATGAACTAAATTTGACTCTGGCAGTTAAGGTAGAATCTTTCTTTCTCTTGCATCATTATCTCTAGGAGATGCTGCAATCTAATAGACTTGACCTTTCGAGGCAGGTGATGAATGAGAAAAGCTAGACTGTGGTTTCTTGTTTGGTAATGCTGTTCACCTTGAGTTCACAGGGCAGAGTTACCACCTTTGGACCTATGGAATGGGAAAGAGCAATGCTGTAAAGGTCAGGAGACAGCAGTTCTTGTCCTTTTGTAATACCCATCAGTATGACCTTGGGCAGGTCACTTTCTTTTTCTGAGTTGTTTCTTTGAGGATTTGAAGAAGATGCTCCAAGATTTATTTGTTTTTAAATTTCCTGAAGTCAAAAAGGGTTTCTGTCTTGCTCACTTTTGTATCAGCAACACAGAGCAGAGCTTGGTACAATACTAATGAGTGTTTGTTGAGAGGCAATAGAGTGTAATTTGACAGAACTGCATAGATTTCACTTTTTCTAATTAGTAATCATGTAACCTTGTGCAGATTTCTTAATTTATCTGGGCATCAATTTCCTCATCTGTAAAATGGAGATAATAAAATTACCTGCTTCTGTAGGGTTTATTGTGAAGATGAAATAATATATGTAAAATATTTAACTCAATACTTGGCACATAGTAACATTCAAAGAAATTGTCACTGAATTAATATGTGAGATCTGTTTTATGTCTTTTTCATTTTGAGCATAGTTGTTTATTTCTTAAAGAAGCTTAATTGGAATATTCATCTTATTTTGTTAGAATACAGTGTTGTTATGATAAAGGTCATAGGTTTATCCCACGAGGATTATTTAGCTTTTTTTTCCTTCCATAGCCTGTATCTCTAACGCCTGTCACCAAAGAGATCTGAGTAAAAAGGAAGAGTGTGATGAAATTAATGCAAATCTGTTGCTGCTACTTGGAAAACAAATCTTATGCCACATTGCTGATGTCTTGGAAGAATCAACTTTATGTGTGACAGACAGCATTATGGAAGCCTGAGGAGGGAAATCCTGCTTTTTAAGGGATTCCTAAAACTGTGATTTTTTAAATCTTTCTTCCTAATTGATCCTAGGTCAGAAATGGATCAGAAAGTCCATAGAGACCTGGGTAGAAGAAAAATGTCCATGGTAAATAAAGGATACAGGTCCACAGTCTCTTAAAACCTTTAGAGTCTGATATATTTGAGAATTCCAAATTTTTCAAATTTTATAAAGTAATGTGGTACATATGTGGTATTATTACATAATATCCTCATCAAGGTCTGGGCAGTTTCTAGCAATCAGACATTAGAATTTCTATAATGAAATGCAATTTGAGTAGGGTAAGGAGAACATAAATAGCTTTATATCTGTTGACATTACATGTCGCTGTCAAATAAGTATTGAAAACCTATGAGAAATTTTTTGGTTTTCAGAGGTTTTTGATTTAGGGATCTGCAGATACAGGATTAAAGACCTTATTAATTCAAAAGAATGTCATGCCTATAGAAATGCTTGCTTGATAAATGTAAATTTAAAGTCAGTGTTAGCTTTCTTTAGCAACTATAATTGTTTCTTTTTTTTAGTTGCCTCCAAATAAAAATAATTTATCGAATTTTAAAATCAGAAGTGAATCATTAAAATCCTTTATAATAACCCGTATCATAGTTTCTATTGAACTAAAGTTTTTATTTGTGAGGTATTGGGTTAAATTAAAATGATGTTGTTTGTTGCTAGAAGAGAAGTAAATACTGTTTTATTTTCCACAGCCAAGTCCAATATCTGTCAACTTTAAATGGAAAAATTATGTGACTGGAAGCCTTTACTTGATTTTATATTTAAGAAATATAATACCATGAGATTCCATGCTTGTTTCTTCCTGGGGGGTGCATAATGAGAGACACACTCTGGGGTTTTCTCTTTTCCTGGGGTATCTGTGTTTCATTGATTCATAAGGTACCTAGTTTTCATATTTTAACGTTTCAGAAAGTAAAATGAGTTATATGTATTGTTGTCCAGATGGCTGTTAGGATATACTTTCACAGGCAGAACATCAAACCCAGCATCAACATTTGCATAATGGGTGTCATCATGGGCTTGGAATAAAATCTGAGCACCATTAGTGGAGTGCTCTTTGAACTTCAAGGAACCAAATGGTTAAAAAGCAGTGAGGGTGAAAACAGCTAGCTCTATGCACTACAGAGCCAGCTAAGAGCTTTTGATTCTTTTATGGATTTTATGAAATGCTGCATTACTGATATTTTTGATACAGCTTTTTGTGGGGTAAAAACATCAAATCTGATTACAAGAGAGCAGAAATCCTTCCTCACGCCCTGCCCTTCCCTCACCTCACCTCTTCTCCCACCCTCACTGGATGCTTGTTTTTAAAAAGTCATGTTAATAAAAACATAAAAGCAAAAAATATATATATTAAAATCTGAGTCAAAAAGTGATTCATAAGCATTGGAGTCTGAATGCAAAGTAGTTTTAGAAACAACTGAGGCATTTTGTTTTGCTTATGTTTTTCTCTTTAGATATGTGAAAGGTAATATAAAAATTCCAAGTCTAAAAGAATTCTTTCAGTAAACAAAAGTAAACAGAAGTGGTAAGAAAACATTGTCATAATTTAATAATTTTTTCTTGATTAGTAAATAGAATATTGATATGTCCAAATATAGTACATTATGTATTATACTAAATACAGTATGATTAAGTGAATGAATTAGATTAGATGAAATATGGTAGATTAAATATATCAAATTAGGATATTTGGCCACAAGCTGTAAGTATTGCTGTTGCTTCTCATCTAATTCCATCCTTCCCTCCCTCTCCTTCTCTCTATTTTTTAAATGTTTACTGCATTTATTGGGGTGACATTGGCTATTACCATTCCTCTTAACTTTTGGTGCTTTGGCAGTGTTCTTGTGACAGACTAGTGAGATACAGAGACATGGAAATTCTAGTAAAGAGATGCCCTTTCCCACTCTCCCTGTTTGTGAGTGAATGCTAAAGGTGCTGAGCATCAAACGCTATTCCCAGTTTCTCAGGGTTGGCTCCTTTGTCATGCAGGTGCTCTCCATAGAAATTAGGGGGGTGTTACAGCACTACAGTAAGAAATATATTTTATATTTCTACTTGGAACACATATAAACAAATACTGTTGAAAATGAACTTTCACAAAACAATATTTAACAAGTGCTGGTCATAACTCAGTAAATGGATTTTGTGATCCTCTCCTGAGTTTCAACCCATATTTGGAAAACTCTCTTTTTCTCTATTATACATGTGTGTGTATATACATGCGCACGTGTGAGTATTTACCCTTCTCATATGAATAAGTGAGCCATATTGAGTTGTGGATAGGAAACCGTAAATTTAAATCTCTAGTTAGTTCTTGCTTTACTGTCTGGGAAATTCAATATGAAATTATTTTACTTTATAGGCTGGAGCACTGGATTTGCTGAAGGAACTTAAGAATATTCCCATGACCCTGGAATTACTACAGGTATGTACTGCTATCTGTCATAATTTTTGAATAGGTTATTGTCATAAAATACTGAAATGTCTTCAATACCAATACCAGTTTTTTGTACTGTCTTGCTATATTGTAAGACATTATTAATTTCGATTTTTTTCAAGATAGTAACATAAATCAATCTATTAAGTTACCATTATAGAAAAATGTCTTCCTCAAGAATAAAGCCCAGATATCCAAGGTTTGCATTGGGAGAAATCTCACTGTGAAAAGAGGATGGACTCTTGGCCCTGATGTGATCTCCCAAGATTTTACTTTCTTGGTCTGTCTTCGGTAGCTTCTGCCAGCATGAAGCTAGCTAGCCCCAGGTGAGGATGGCAAGGTGCTGCTCTTCTCCCTCTTTTTTGCACTGGTCAACTGTGTATGCAATCAGATGTCTAGTAGACATTGCCTGGATTCATTACAAAAGTCTTTGACACTCAGCTATCTTCATCAGCTTCCTGGCAGTGGATCACCACGGGCTTCTTTAGAGACACAGGCAGCTGCAGCTGTCTCTCAAATACCTTGTGCTGTTCTGGGACAGGTGTGGTGCACTTATAAGAGCAATCCAAGCCCATTTCTCCAAATGCCACAGCCTTTGGGTGCCTTAAGGCTTGCAGATTTCTTTGTTGAATCTCACTGTAGTAACGTGCAAAATGAGGGTGTTAGCCAAAGGTCTCCCCAAACTAGATTCTCTTTCAACAACTCCTCCCATAGGCAACCTGTCAGTGTCCTGGGATCACAGAAGTCAGATATACAGCCCTGAAATTCCTTAAGGAAGGAGCTGCTATAAATTTCTGAACTTGCTAAAAGGTCCCTTTGAAAGACAACTTGAAATAGAGTTAGTGCAAGTGACAATGGCTGTCAGTGCAACCCTCTAAGCTTGGCTCCCAGTCGCTCCTTGGCAGAGAGTTAGATGCATGTCCTTCGTGGGTAATGTCTCCTCCTGGAGTGTTCTTTTCTCTTTCATCTCCTTTTCTTCTAAGCTTCTGGAGAAGCGAAATGAAGTGATCATTCTGGGAACTGCCTTCTCTGTTGCATTCAGATCTCTGGAGGTGTTTGGGAAGCTCATTGTAGAGTTGGGGAATAATCACTCAGGGGGCCCTGGCTGCTCCTCCCAGCTTGCAGTGTCATTGCTGCTATTCCCCATGGAGGGAGGGTTAGAAGTCTTGGGACTGCTGATCATACCAAGGACTACTGTACAATTAGTTGGGTACATGACATAGTGGGGAAGGCAGAAGGCCTGGAAACTGCTGAGAGTTTCAGCAAGGCGGGCTCCTCCTGAGAATCTGACTGTGGAGACCTCATCCACGTTGGACCTGTCACTTCCTGAAGAGTCGCTTCCTGACTCCCTTTCTTTAGGCTTTTGGCTTTCTAAATGAGAGTCAGAATCATCCAAAAACTCTAGGGGTGGAGAGCACCTGTCAATAACTGTCCTTCGGTCACCCTTGCTGTCACTACTTTCCTTTTGCAGAGCTACTCCTCCCCAGCACAGCCTTTTCCTCTTTTAAAAGTATTTTCTTCACTAAAAGAAAGTTCTGAGAGCATCTTATTTTCGGTAAGCAATAAACCACTTTCTGTGGATTAAAAAATAAAACCCCTCAAAACAATCCCAAATCATTTGGGGGCTTTAGACATTCAGAGTTCCCTTTTTATAGATAACATTTTTGTTATGGAATTTTATTTGCCATACTTGGCTTTCCAAGAGATACAATAACATAGGACCCTCCGACTAAATACATATTCTAAATTCTTGAACAAAACTTCTGTTCTCAGTCTTTTTGTTGAGTCATTGAATAATTTGGAAGGAAGCCTTAAGTACCCATTTATTTCTCTGCCTTAAAGTTTACAGCAGGGATCTTTCTTTCGCTTTTGTCACCACTGAGAATTCTTTTTGTTATTTTTTTCTTCCATAGACCATATGTTTTGAAAAACTATCTACTAAAAACCTGAACTTACTAAATAATTTGCTGTTTCTAATTTATCATCCATAAAAGGCCTGTCAACATTTGTGTTCTTTGAGCAAAATTTGAAAATCATTGATATGCTGAAAAGAGCATGGACTTTGGGGGGGTGGACACACCTGGATTAAAAGCCTAGGTTTGCCAATTACTAATGGTGTAATGCTGGGCAAGTTATTTATTGGTACTTCCAATCTCGTCATCTTAGAAATAGGGATAATGACCTCACCCTTGAAGGGTTGCTGGGAAGATTGGAAAATATGGATGCACCGAGCATAATCCTGGATACATGGTATTACCATGTTAAATTGTCTATATTCTGTGACTTAAATTTTAATGCCTGTGATTATATGCTAGTTTCAGGCCCAAAAAATTTGCTTTTAAACCTTTGTAGATGGCAGTATTTGGATATACTCATTATAAGTTGCATTAGGTGGGCTAGGGAGTAATCTTATATAGAGAAATGTATTAGTTATGATTGTTTCACCCTATGTTATGTATAAGTACAAACATTCTATACTTTATTCTTGTTTCTTTCTTATGGAAAGACAATTTTATTTAGAAGTTAACCAGCCTTATTACAGTAGCAAGTTAATATGCTTGCAGATTTCTGTGCTAAGAACCTGAATCCAGTGTTTGATCTGAAGTTGAATGCATCTTAAGTCTGTAGTGTACTGTTATATTTGAAGTTTTTTTCTGCTCTCAAATGGACACAGGAATCTGAGAAAGAAGAAATTGAAACACTAAATTGTCTGAAATAAAATTGATTGTACAAGTATTTTGTCATTGCCTTGTAGTCCACAAGAATTGGAATGTCAGTAAATGCTATTCGCAAGCAGAGTACAGATGAAGAAGTTACATCTTTAGCAAAGTCTCTCATCAAATCCTGGAAAAAGTTATTAGGTATGATTAACCTTCCCTTATATATATTTATAATGTTCTGGTTTATTCAGACATTTGGTTGTTGCATTTTTTCTGTATATTTGCCATACTTGTTTTGTCACATTCTCTGTCTTTTTCTCTCCATATGTACTCACACTCAAATTATTTTTTTGAACCATTGGCGAATACGTTGCATCTATCATGCTTTACCCTTTATTACTTATGTGTCTGTTTCTTTAGAACAAGTTTATTTTTTTATATAAGCATAATACAGGAAATTCAGGAAATTTAACATGAGTATAGTACTTTAATCTACAGGGAATATCACTTTTTAAATATATATATATATATATATATATTTTTATTGATTTCAGAGAGAGGAAGGGAGGGGCAGAGAGAGAGAGATAGAAAGATCAATGATGAGAGAGTCATTGATCAGCTGCCTCCTGCAGGCCCCCTGCTGGGGATTGAGCCCAAAACCTGGGCATGTGCCCTGTCCAGGGATTGAACCATGATCTCCTGGATCATAGGTCAATGTCCAACCTTTGAGCCATGCTGGCCAGGCTAAAGCTTTTTTTTTAGAATATTGCTAGATTTCTGGAGGGTTTACTACTGCTGCTACTAGGTAGCACAGTTTTGAATACTTAAGATATGCCAACCATTGACCTTTATAGTGCATTTAATCTTCCCAACAATCTAGTGTGCTAGGTGCTATTATAATTCCCATTTTATGATGAGGAAAGTGAGGCACTGAGAGATTAAGCACTTTATGCACAGTTGGATTGGGTTCCAGTAGCTAGGCTGGGATCTGTTCACAGTAAGTCTGGGTCCAGAGCTGGAGCACTTCCATGTGGCTCTGCTATATTGCCTGCAGCATTATATTCAGATAGCAGGAATGTTTTTAAGGCTGTTGTACTTACTGCTCTGCTTTCTGAAGGTATTGTGCTAATTTATACTGTGCTGGAGCAGTGTGTAGGATCAGTTTTATTGCTCTTCTGAGAGCTTTGGATCCTTGTTAGATAGTATTGCATTGCTATATCACTTTCAAATGCTTTCTACCCTAAATATTTCTTAGTCCTTGCTATATTTTGTCATTATTGATCTTTGTTTTCTTCACAATACTATACCATCTTTATGTTTGGGGGGTCTTCCAGGCGCATTATAAGAATAACGGGACAGAAAAATGAGTATGTGAAAACTAAAGCATACACTTAGCATAGGGTATTTGAATTGTACTTCAGGTTTGGTAACCCTAACCTTGTATGAGATAAGTTCTAGAATTGTGATTTGGACCAACTCTTTCAGTTACTCGTTGAGATTAGCTATTAGAATTATCTGAGGAGCTTAAAAATTTTGATGCTCATGCCTCACTGCCTGAGATTTGGGTTGAATGGCTTGGGATGGGAGCTTGAGCATGATGAGGATATGCTTAAAAGTTGCCTAGGTGGCCTTAATATACAGTTGAATATATGTTCTTCTATATTCTATACAGAGAGATGTGGAGAATTGAATTATTTGTGTAGCTCTTATTACTTAGGTAGGGATAAAGATGTATGCAGTAGATACAAACATTTTCTGAACCCAGCTTCAAGGCTGTTTTGATTGATTTAAACATGAATGTTTCTTTCCAGTGATTAAATATTGCATTGGCCCATTCTATTTTCGGTACCTTATTTCCCAGAATTTAACTGTTCACCTCCTTAAGTCTTAAAACTTAAGCACTCTGTAGTACTTTACATATTACTTAAGATTGAGGAGGTACTGGGTAGGTTTTTACTAACCCTGAAGTACTTTCTATGAAAATGTCTTTGTTGCTGCCCCTGAAACATTTACTTATATTTTGGGTACTGCCTTAAATTTTTTAAAAATTTCTTTGTTGTTGAAAGTATTATAATGTTCCCCCTTTTTTCCCCATTGACTCCCTCCACATACACACCACCCTCCCTCACGCTACCCCTCCCCCCCCATCCTTCCACACCATTTCTGTGTCCATGGATTATGCATATATGTATATAAGTTCTTTGGTTAATCTCTGCCCAGCCCTCTCCCCCACCCCCATCTTCCCTCTGAGACATAGAAGCATGGAACAGACTGACGAACCACCTTAAATTTTTTGACTTCATGAAAAATTAAAACACCATTGCTATATATATATACTTTGCACTTTCATTTTTATGACAGTGCTCCTATTTTTTTCCATATTCTTTTCTTCCCTTTGTCTGTATATTTTTCCTCTCTTTTAGGTTCCATTGGCATACGAGTGTGTGGTTTCCTCCAAATGGGGGTGTTTATTTGGGAATGCTGACTGAGCATTCATTGTGAAAAATACCCAAATGCATATGATAAAAGAGTAGCTTACATAAATTTTATTTACCTGTTGAAAACTTGGGATTTTAGATTTTTTGTTTTGTAAATAGCCTGATAACATGCAGTAGTTCAGTTTTTGAATTTTTTTTTTAAACAAATGCTAACAACTTAGGGATTTCATAAATTTTTAGATGGACCATCAACTGATAAAGATCCTGAAGAAAAGAAAAAAGATACTGCAATTACATCACAGAATAGCCCTGAAGCAAGAGAAGAAAGGTATTGCTCTTGGGAATTCATTTATGTTGAGAGTCTTGGTTTTACTTGATCGGCACCTCCTCCTTGCTCTTATGACCCCATGTCTGTACTCTTCTGCTTTCTAATCAATTTGAATTAGCCCAAAATTCTGAAGTTTCTAAGAAAACTTTTTAGAAATTTAAAAGAGAGTTAGAAGACACGGCATAACTAGAAGAAATTATTTACAGTGTACTGAACAAGTTTAATTGAATGGATTCTCTGGGATAGTGCTACTAGAATTGATAGTGAAGGTGCTGATTAGGGATTCAAATGGTTTCATCCTCTGTTTACATTTCTATTTCACACTTTTTATTTTTTTGGCCCTGAATCTAATTTTCCTTTTTATGTTTTTATTTCTCTTCCCAATTTAGCTGTTTGTTATCACAACTGAAAATGTGAAGTTCAGTAATGAAGGGGTCAGATTGTTTCTCAGATCTTAGGAGTGCTTTGCATTTATTCTTTCCTATCACAGATAATGAACTGTGATATCCAGCACATTGACGTAAAAGGCGAGGGATTCCTAGTAGGTTAAAAACAGTTCCTCTGTTCTTGGGAAGCTTGTAGTTCAACACTTGACATTGATTTTGGGCAATAGTTCTCAAAGTGTGGTCCCTGGAAGAGCAGAGAACCTGGCAATTTTAGCAAAGCAAATTCTTGGGCTCTACCCTAGAACTACCAAATTGGGAATTCTGGTAGTGGGTCCTAGAGTTAGTGCTAACTAAACTTGATGATAAAAGAGGTAAGCTAGATGTAGGGTTAAACACCAGTTGTTAATAAAATTTATTCAATTTTTTTTTTTTGAGATAATTTTAGATTTTTAGAAAATTGTAAGAGTGATACTGAGAACTCCCTACTTCCCCAGTATTTATATGCATATTGCAAACACACACGCAGATGAACTGGTGTTATTTTGAATAAAATAAGTCATTTGTAGCCCGGCTGGCATGGCTCAATGGTTGAGCATCAACCTTTGATACAGGAAATCGTGGTTCAATTCCTGGTCAGGGCACATGGCTGCATTGCAGGCTTGATCCCCAGTGAGGGGCATGCAGGAGGCAGCTCATCAATGACTCTCTCATCACTGATGTTTCTTTCTATCTTTCTCTCCCTCCCTCTCTTTGAAATCAATAAAGATATATTTTAAAAGTAAATAATTTATAGACATGTGCCCTTTATGCCCTTAAATGCTTACTACATCAATGTGTATTTTCTAAGATCAAGGACATTTTCTCACATATCACCACAATAAAGCTACCAATATCCAGAAATTAACATTGATGCCTTTTTCTCATCCACAGACCTTATTCATATTTCAACAATATTCCAGTGTCTTAATGCAAGGGAAAAAGATTTTTCCAAAATATTATTCAGGATCACACTTTGCATTTAGTTATATCTTCTTAGTTTCCTTTATCTGGAGTAATTCTCAGTGTGTCATTGTCTTTCATGACCTTTATTTATTTTTTAAATATGTGGGGTTTTTTATTTCAGAGAGAGAAAGGGAGAGGGGGAGAGAGAGATAGAAACATCAGTGATGAGAGAGAAATCCTGATAGGCTGCCTCCTGCACGCCCCCTACTAGGGATGGAGCCTGCAACCCAGGCATATGCCCTGACCGGGAATTGAACCATGACCTCCTGGTTCATGGGTCGACACTCAATCACTGAGCCACACAGGCCGGGCCATGACCTTTATATTTTTGAAAAATACAAGCCATAATTTATAAATTTTTTAACATACACTTTCACTTACCTAATTTGGAGACATCCAGAGTCACCGATTTAATGCCTTGATTATAAAATATAATCGAGTCACCCGGGCGTGGCTCAGCTGTTGAGCATCAACCTGGGATCCGGGAGATCGGAGTTTGATTCCCGGTCAGGGCACATGCCCAGGTTGCAGGCTCGATCCCCAGTAGGAGGGCATGCAGGAGACAGCCGATCAGTGACGACTCTCATCATTGATGTTTCTATCTCTGTCTCTCTCTCTCCCTTCCTCTGAAATCAATAAAGATATATTTGGGGGAAAAAAATATATATATATATAAAAAAATGTATGGTCAAACCTTGGTTCTTGAACATCTCCCATCTCGAACAATTCTGTTTTCTACCAAGTTGTTCATGGCAGAATGTCTTGGCTGTGGAACAGAACTTTAGTTCTGGACCTGACAGCCCTTTCATGCTGATACTATACAAAGTCATCATAATACAAACCTGTGTGCAGACAGTACTTTGGGAGTACACAGAGAAATCTGAGAAGGCTTCAGGAAGGAAACAGCTAAACTTAGAAGATATGCAAAAGGGTCCTTTTGCCCATATTGATCTCATTGTGAAGTTTGACAATAGATTATATTTTGGAGAGAAGGCAAGGAGGTATCTGCATGTAGTAGTGCAGGAGTTAGATCTATGGAGAGTGACTGATTTTAGTCTTGGTACAGGTTTATGGCAAATATCTCTAATGTGAGAAAAGTTAACTGAAACCAGTCAAAAAAGTATTTTGGTTAGAATCTAATATAAGAAGCAGTTGAAATGATTAGGTTGACTGGGAAGTTGTTAAACTGTCCTGATTAAGTGATGATTCTGGGGAGAAATTAAGAGACATTTTTATATTCTTGCAGCTCATTTCTCACTACACTTGTTTTTCATCCTGAAGGGGATGTTTTAAATGTGAACTCATTGGTTATCTAATTAGAATAGGGTTTTCAAACGTTCCCCCCC